GCCCAGAGTGCTAGGATTACAGGCATGAGCCACCGCGCCGGCCTTTCCCTCTTTTTTTTATGTAAAATACTATCAGCATTTATGTTGTCAAAACATAACTATCAACTATGCTTTTTTCTACTTTTCATAGAATGTTTAGCCTTCTGTACCATAGAGATCATAGATGTTTAGGAAAGAAGTAAGACTATATCTAGGTTTCCTAAAATCCTGGCCAATGCTATTACTTCAGGTTGCCTTCCTTTAAGTTTTTATCTGCTAACTTTGCTGCTGTTTCTTTTTTTAATCACCAATCCAATTTTAGTTTTGATTTTTTAAGTCAGCTTTATTCAGGTATTCACCATAGATCACATAGTTAGCATAAATATGTGATCAATTTAGTATCTCAAAGCCCAATGCCTCAGGCATATAAAACACCCTTATCAGGCAGAATATTTGTAGGGCTCAGAGCTCATTTCCCAGGAGCCAGCGAAGGGCCAGTCCTGAAGACAGGCGTTTCCTGGTAATGTGCAGATGTGCAGAGTTTAAGAGCAACCCAGGCCTGCTGAGTTTTTTCCTGAACACTCTTTTTTTTTTTTTTGAGACAGAATCTCACTCTGTTGCCTGGGCTAGAGTGCAGTGGCATCATCGTAGCTCACAGCAACCTCAAACTCCTGGGCTTAAGCAATCCTCTTGCCTCAGCCTCCCCAGTAGCTGGGACTATGGGCGTGTGCCACAACGCCAGGCTAATTTTCTACTTTTGGTAGAGAGGGGGTCTTGCTCTTGGTTAGGCTGGTCACCCATTCTTTTTTATGGTGTTCATTTCCTCTGTAATACAATGCTATGTCATTGTGGTTAACTAGTAGAGTGTATTAACTTGTTGATAAACTTCCTTTAGATGCTTTGCCTGTGTTAAGAATATTCCTTTGAAATTTTGTGTTCAGTTGTCCAGGTGCTGTCATGATCCTTTTTTATCTTCCTAATGGTACTGTCATATTACATACTGGAGACTTCAGAGCAAATCCCAGCATGGAACGTTCTCTTCTTGCAGGCCAGAAAGTCCATATGCTGTACTTAGATACAACGTAAGAGAATTTCTTTGTTTGCTTCCTTTTCCCACTGTCAGTATTTGCTCTATGTATTATGAATAATTTGAGCATTTGCTTAGGTAACCAAAATGGTGCCTTATTGCCAGTTATTGTTTTAAGGCTGTTTATCAGAGGGATGCTGTTTGAAAAAAATATACTTGCTTAAGGGAAAATTTGAGATTATGTGTCTTAACTGACTATAGCTCAAGTTTTTTGTAATTTATTTTGGAAAATATGTTTATATGAGAATCCTGTTATTGAAA